CTCGCATTCCGGCGGGCTGATGTAAAAGTCTCCAAAAGGACCGGCTGTGGGCTCGTCACTCCCTGGCTCCACTCATTGGCTCGTGGAGTTCACCACCTGTGGGCTGGAGGTCGTCCATAAGGGACCATGCCATCCACTTCCGTAATGATTCCAGGGAGTGCAACCATGCCATCCACTGCAGAACACTGTACAGGGATATCATGACTGTCGACCCTCCAAGGGCTGTGTAATGGAAACCCATACCAAGTGTTGCCTCATGTGTAATCCATTCGCAACCTCGAGTGATGAACAGTGCCAGAACTGTAGGGTAACACCCTCCGAAACCGAAGGCAACCGAACAGACGAAGTCCAGCCCATCGCCACCGACAGCGTCTTTGCCGCCAGTGACCTCAGTGAGCTCATGAAGCACTACGACCAGCTGGCGGGATATGACCCTGACAACCGCGAAGTGCCGCAGGATACCCTCTTCTGTGGACCCGTTGAAGAGGAGAGACGGGGGTGGAATTGGAAGGATGGGAATCGGAGGACGAAAAGAGGTGGACGCTTCTTAGGGTTTGGGTCGGAAAGTCTCGATAATACGTTGACAGAACCAATGATTCCAAAGTATAAGAAAACTGGAGCATCATCACTTGTCCGTCTTGGATTCCATAAAAGTTTGGTCGGTGGCATCAACTCACGACCGGTCTTGCCTTATCCGGACAAAGTGATTCAAATACTGTGTGACTATGCCTCTCTGCCTGCACAAACTTATCCACATCATGTTCGTTTGCAGCTACCGCCGCTACAATGCGCTAGTCCACTTGAAGCACCCTTTGTTGAAATTCCTTTCAAACAGCGAAGCGGTTTGTACCAACGGATTAAGAAGTGCATACGGAACCACATAACCCTTGAGACAATTGACATCGAGAACTGAGTGGGCTTTTTAATTCAGAATTAGCAATTCAGTCGGGTTGATCAAGTTCTTTTCTGCAATGTACAGGGGTCAACCTCTGGTTTGGGTGACATTTTCGATATGTGGATACTTGTCTACCTTCTAGCACCCCACGTATGTGGAAGGGCTTAGAGGGCAAACATTTGGACTGTTCGCAAGTGAGTGTGTGGGAGATGTTGTTTTTTTTTTCAAGCACTGGCCATGCTATATAGCATGGGGGTGTGATTTTTGAGGTTTGCCAAGTGCGCTGTACCCCTGCATGTTTGATGAGTGCGGAAGAGATGACGCTTTTCTCACGCACCGGAGCAGAGACGGGGCCTTGTAGACTCATGTTAACTGTCAGTGGAGCTGCTGCACGGATCCTTGCACACTGACGTCACTCCCCATTGTCTGTGGTTCAGGAGACATGGCGTATGCGAAGGACTCGGTGATGGGCTGCGCTGGCAGGGATGGGAAGGTGAGTGGTCCAAGACCAAGGGACCAATGATGACCGATGTGTATTTCTTTTGGGCAGGGATGGTGCGAATTTCTTGAACACCGTTTGCACATGTTTGAACAAATATGGCACTTAAACAGCCAATGTTATACGCTCTTGGGCACATTGAACAAGTTGTGCTTGTTCTCTCGCATTCTCTCGCATTCAAAAATGAAAGACCCTTGCAGATCTTGGATGATCTTGTCATTTTATTTCAGCTGCACTGTTTCTTAGAGGTTTTTGGGACGCAGAATAATTGCAAAGTGAGCGACTTAGCTTCTCTAAGTGGCTCAAACTTGTGTCTATATGTCAGCACCAAGCTTGCACCTGAGACTTTTCAAGTCTAGCCGCTGCTGGTTCTGGTATGTTCTGGTTACAGATCCTCATGGTATCGCGTGGGGCCAAATTTTGCAAAAAACCATATCAGATGGTTTGAGAACTCCCCATGTCTCGTTTTTTCTGCAGGAAATTGAAGACTGGGATGTACACCCACCGCATCAGCCACTTGGAAAGCGGGATTGGCCGCCGCACCGGACCGACCACCGGTTAGACCGCGGGTCGGGAAGACCGTGACGCTTCGACGTCGCTCAGGTGCCAACTACTCCTGCAACGAATCGCAGTTTTCGAGCCATGCACAAGCGCGTTTCTACCTCCAGCCCTGCGACGAGACCGCACCCACGCGTGAAGAGGCCGAGCTGGAGCGTGTTTTTGGACTGCGAGCACTGGCACCATGGGCCGGCACCAGTCGTGGAGACCTCACGAGTTCAGGGTGCAAGCTTGTTTTGTGCTGCAGTCATGTGCTGTTTGCAGTGCAAGCTTGTTTTGTGCTGCACTCATGTGCTGTTTGCAGTGCAAGCTTGTTTTGTGCTGCAGTCATGTGCTGTTTGCAGTGCAAGCTTGTTTTGTGCTGCAGTCATGTGCTGTTTGCAGTGCAAGCCAGTGCAAGCTTGTTTTGTGCTGCTGTCATGTGCTGTTTGCAGTGCAAGCTTGTTTTGTGCTGCTGTCATGTGCTGTTTGCAATCTCGTGGACATTGTACAGTGCAAAAGCATGCAAACGCGTTTTGCGCAAACGTGGGTTATGTGTAAGTGACACGCATAAGCAGATGTGGACCGTGATTGATACAGCTGAGAGATCCGTTGGATGAGATTTCTTGTCCGTGGGCCACTTTATGGGTTTGTCTTTGTGGTTGAATTTCCCAATAATGATAGGAACAAGAAGCTACTAGTAACAAAGGGCATCGCTACTAGGAGCAAGGACGCTACTGGTAGCTCCTGGCCTTACTACTAGGAACAGGAGGACGCAAAGTTCATGGACATGAATATCATTCAACTGATTTGATCCAATTGTGTAGGCAGGTCATGGCTGCCCAGCCCTCTGGAACGAATGCAGGGTGGACATTCCAATGGCCATGTTTTGATCTTGACCTTTACCAGCCGCGAGACATAGCTGAGACTCCTAAGATCCACTAGACCACAGGTTGTTGAAGTGTGTTGGAGATTTGGACGCGAAAAGAATCAAACACAGGCATCTTTTGACTTCCCATGTTGCTTCCTTAAAAGGGCTTGAACATGCTTGTGATTTCGATTTCCGCGATCGATTTCGCAAAGTTCTCGTGCACCCTGTGTGCAGGCACCTTTCGTTCCCAGAAAGCTCAACAAGCTTGGCATCATGGAGACTTAGTGCTCAACAAGCTGCAAAGCACTGTGGGCACGGGAGAAATCCACTCATCATTGTAGTGAACTTCTAGGGAAGATCGAGGGCCTGCCGCCCTGCCACGTCCCCACAAGTTGGTGTTAGTACATCACAGTTCTCACTACCGAGATCCTCTAGTTTATATCCTTTGTATCATGATATATAATGCTATATATATATATTTTAGACTATATATATTTGTTTATAGATAGAACTATATATATATACTAGGTTTCTGTTGAACAAGTGATCTCCGTTTTTCTTATCGGGGCTTCTTGAGATCGTGCAATTTTTTTGGAGATGTTCCACAATGTTCCACATGTGTTTTGTTACTTTTTAAAGTACAGTATTTATTTGTTACTAAATATACATGTTTATTTTGAAATACGCCCTTCAATGCCCTTCGTTTGAAGAGTCCGTTACCCCACTAAACTGTTTTTGTTGTTTGGGGGCAGTCCTTCTTGCCGAACCGTTTTTGTGAAATGCCTAGTGTGTTTCTTTGGACAGGCCAGCTTTTCAGCTGATGTGTGCTTATTGTTTCAGGGCACCACTTCTTGCCCAACTGTTTTTGTTGGACACGTTGACTTGTTCAACTGAACAGTGGGGGTTCCGCCTTTCTTGCCCAACTTGTTTATCTAAATTCCTAGTGTTGGAAAACCGCGCTGGGGCCTTTCTTCATTCATCGATTTGTCGTTAATTAACCATGTGTAAACATGTGTTCTTGCCGATTGGTCCACTGAACTGTGCTTCTTGTTTGCTCCGCAGCCAGCCTCGCTCGCTGAACACCCCGTCGGACACCGGGGCCCTCCCGGTCGGGGTGTCCCTCCCCGCCGGTCATCGGGACGAGCCGCGACGAGCCGACGGACGGTGCCCAGCGGTGTGCGTCTCGTCTCAGACAGCGCTGGCCGTGTCGACAGCAGACAGCAGACAGGAAGTGATACATTTCTTTTGATTTGGGGTGAGGTTTAAGATGCTTTAACCCATGGGGTTGGAGGAAGACCATGTGTTTTTTTCTTTTTGCATATTCAAACGTTTGCACTAGGTCGCAAGGTGATGCTGGGGCATTTTCCTGCACCTGTAGAGCTTCATTGGAGTAGGTGGATGGATGTATTAACCTCATTCCACCTCCCACACTTGGGACGAAGGGGACGGAGGTTGTGAAGAATTCCACATGTCTTGGCCACATGCTTTGTCATGGACAGGCGCCGTTGGCGTCACCGCATGGCATATCCCTCCCTCTACAAGCGTCGCTGTCGTGGGCGCTGAGGAAATGGACGTGAAGCCCACTCTGAGAGGCTGGTCGACCGACCAGTCGCCGGGTGCCACGTGAGTGCCACGTGCCACGTGAGCTGCTTGAGCTTTCCCCGTCTGCGATCACGCGGCCATCGCGAAAGCGAAGGAAAGCGAACACGGGCACGACGGTGGGGGGCACAACGTGGAGGTTGATGTGGTCAGGTCGAGGTCGCTGGGGCTCGGCTCCAAGGTTCGGCTCGGTCGGCCAGGGGGTGGCCGATGGAATTGGCTGGGAAGATCCTGGTCCAGACATTTCAAGACAGATTTGGGCAGGTGAACCGTAAAATGTTGGCAGGTGAACCCGTGAAAGGTGAGGTCCAGAAATTTTAAGCAGACTGCTGTTGATTCCAGACAGACAAAATCAGGATGTCCCACATCACTGTATGACCAGGGGCTGAGACATCCATTCTTAGGGTCCAAGTATCATTTTTTTCGGACGGCTTTTGGGTGATGTGGGTCATGTCGTCACAATTTGGTTTCAGATGGTCTGAGACTTGATGGTCATTCATCACCTTCCATTCTTAGCTGACCGGACCCGTTGGGCGTTTCAAATGGTCTTTCCCAGGTCCGGTGGGGCAGCGGGTCCGGCAGGGGCGTTTGATACCAAGGTCCTTGGTGGTCGTTGAGACCATCGACCACAAGCCGGGCGCTCAGTTCAGTGGAGAAGCGCCCCTATAGGTGGCGGCGGTTTCATGATGTGTTTACTGTGTTTGTTGTTTCAGGAAGAGGAGACGAAGGACCAGGAGTAAGAGGAATTCCATCCATCTTGGTATTGTCATGGAAACACCCTGAAACACCCATCCTGAAAGAAGAGAAGCACGCATCATCCCAAGTCACCCACACAACTTGCAGAAAAGGAAGATACATTCATATGCATTCCTTTGTCATGGAAACACTGCAGCTTGGAAGAACTTTGCACCACTACCCCAGTACCATCAACATCCTGGTGACCTGGAATGGGAGAAGCAGCGCCTTGGTCCCACCTTTCGCGCCTGCTCAAGGCCCGACCATCCCACGGAGAAGCAGCGCATCGAGACCGCGGGTGGCACGGTCTCCTTCGAGGCGGTCTCCACGGTGAGAATGATGAAGCCACATGAGCAGCGTCGGCGCGTCGACGCGGAAGCCGACGCGTCGACGCAAAGAAGGTTAATGGCCACAAGACCAAAGGGTTTTGACCACCGCCCACCGAACTTGAGGATTGCGCCATCGGCCATCTGAAACCACTGCAAGTGTGCTTCATGCATGCGTGTGCCTCATCCCCACAACCTGACAGATCAAAACCCTTTGGGTTTTGGCAACCTGATCAGGATGATTTGTAAGGTGAATCGATTTATCAATCTATACGATCTCCTTATGGACTCATGGACCAACATGTTTATGGTGAACACCCTAGTCGACTAGTCGACTCTTATAAACATGTTTGTAGAGCCCGAGGAAGCACAATTCCGGGATTGATTGGTGATGCACATACAGAACAGGCAACATCCCATCTACATCCCATCTACCACCCTCCAACAGGCTGCTTGGTGACCCTAACTGTGGAACGATCTTGGCTGATGGCGGACAGCGACGATAGCTGGGATCATGTGGATCCATTGGTTGAAGCCGAGCCAGTGGTGCAACCCCCGGAGCGGTGCAACCCCAGGAGCGGTGCAACCCTTTCAATAAGGGTATAGGCAAGGAGATGTGCGAGCGAGAGGACAAGCGACTTTAGTGGATGAAGCGCCCGCACCTTACAGACCTCCTGCATTGAGGCATGACATTCGTCTTGGTAGGCCTCAAGGTGGACAGCAGCATCAGAACCATGTTCAACTGAGTTTCATTCCAGGTCCTTCTTGTGTGGATGATTCTGGAGAGTGGTCGCGCATTGTTCCAGAGGGAGCAGCCGTGTACACGTACGGGAAGTCGACTGTAGTGCATGTTGATTGCCATACTCTGTCTTTCAGGCGACAGATTGAAAGGGGTGAGCGTGATGCGAACGTTTGGGAGGATCACTGAGAGCAGCATTTTGGTCTTGGACTCAAGCCATTTTTTGCATCAGAGCTGTCAGTGTGAGAGAGATTCAGAAGGTTCGATCGTCCGGTGCGCCTTCCATCACACCGGATTTGCTGCCGTATGCGGGATGGACCTCCCATCTCGCCTTGAACACTGCTCGCATCAGACATGTGAGTTTTTGGTGTGATATGAATAGGCGTGCCGTTTTATGAGCATTTGTAAATGCACCGTGTTTGGGGAACAATTTGCTCAGGAGGCTCAGGAGATGTGATGAATTTGTTGCTTTTCATTCCATGAAGCTACGTGCAACCTTGGAGTGGCGAGATCACCAATGAGACTGATTGAATGCTAATTTGGCTCAAGGAGAAAAGTAACATATGGAATCGTGTGAAGCCGTCGGTTCGCCATATTTTTCTCCTCCGAGCGCGGCGATTCAATTTTTGGTATTTGGTTCTGCATATTTGACTTGAATATTGAGAACTGGGATCCGTTGGAATTTATCTCTCCGCACTAACAGGTTGTCACCAAGAGACACCTGTTGGAGGGTGCTGATACACGGGTGGGTGTGTATTAGAATAGTGAGGGAGACCTGAGACGTCCAGGCAACGACACCGCTTTGGAAACTAGACCAGCCTACCTAGCCAGGGGCGAGCTTGTGGGGGTCGCAGAGGGGTCTCCCTCTCCCCACCAACAAGACACGTCCAGCCCGTCTAACGGCCCAGTCTCCGCGCGCTTGACCCACCTGCCGGTGCTGTGAGTCCATCCGCGTGACATGCCGCCAGGACCCGCCGAGACTGGATGGGAGCTTGGCCGTGCCCTGGCGTTCTTTTCTTCCGGGGTGGTTCAAGAGGCTACTGGCAAGACCAACAGCTGCAGAAGTGCAAAAAGTGTAGGGGTGGTTCTTTTTTTCACCTTGAGAAGCAGATCCAGATGTGATCCGCTGGGAGCAATGAGATCCACTGGGACAGTTCTGCTGTGTTTTTGAGCCATGCCCATGATTAAGATTCACCTGAGAACGCTGAACAGAAGAGGCCGCTGGTGTTCTTCACCACAAATTCTATGAGGTTTTTTGGCGGATAGTATGGACGTAACATGGAAAAAACTAATGTATTTGAATTTGTGCCATTTGTGCCACGCCGTGAAGGAAAAACACGTCTCACCAAGAACTGCGTTCCCCACTGTAGGTCCCTATTTTGTTAACACATGCATACATACATTGAGATGGTTGTGAACATCTCCAAATGATCAATTTGTTTGGCGCAGATAGAATGTGGGCAATCAATCACGAATCATCATACCCTCAGGCCCTTTTCTTGCATTATAATGCAGAAGAGTGGTGCCGAGCAGAGTCGAACGAATAGTTGTATCTAGAAATGAACCTGTGCTGCTGGAAAATGCTGCCTCCTTTCTCGTGGTTCGCCTTTTTCTCTTCAAGAGCCAAGGAATACAACAAAAAACATTTCAACATTTCTATCATCAAAGTTTGCTCGTTGGACTCAGCTGATTGGAACAGTGCCACAACCATTTGCTCGTGCCCTTTGGGACACGCACCGTTCAGTAGCACAGGAATGGACCAATTTTATGCTGTTTTGTCACCCCCTGGTTCATTTTCCAGACTGCCTCATTCCTCCCTGCAACATGTGTCGATCAGATCAATCCCCTCCCACCACACCGACCACCATGCTCAAAATACCGGACCCTCGAACGACCTGCCGTGCCGTGAGGTCAGTCGAGGCTTGGGGGACTTCGAATACAAAGCCGACGGTCCGGAGGCTCAAGGCATCGGTACCGCGGCGGGCGCCGCGCTGTGGTGGCAATCTTCTCAACAGTCAATCCACTGGGGTTGGCGATCAGTAACCCAAACATACCCAAACCGTTGAATCAAGGCTGGCTGTGAACCAATACACCATCCTAATTAAATCTGCCACCACCAATCAGACATTATAATTTATATCAGAAATTCTTCACAGAAAAGGCCCAACCATCGCCGAGTTCAACATCTTCGTTTCTCCACAGACCGATCGTCGAAGAGTCTCTGAAGAGTCTCGGGCAGGCCAACCTCGTTGGTCCGTCCGACCCTGTCCTCTGGTCTCGGTCCGGTCGAGGAAGTGATGCTGAGGGAGTACAGAGAAAAGCGCGGTCAGTGTGACTTTCATCACAGTTCGCGTCGGTATGCAAGAGGCACTTTATCAATTATGCAGATCAACTTGGCCATGATTTCGTTGGCATAGCACTGTTTGTAGCTCCACCAGGTGTCTACATGTTTGTGTCAATTATAACTATGCGGGTATATGATCCGCCGTCAAACGACTCAAACTAGTTTAATCCAAACATGACCCCTTGAAGACAAGTTAGAAGGATTGAGGAAACCATCGGAACCATCCTGAATTAATCGGTTCCTTATAAGTTCGGGGTCTCGTGCACAAAAGAGTCGCTCACGACCAAGGAAAACGGACCGTGGGCGAGCAAAAGGTGGGTGACGAGGGTTTAGGGTCCGGGCCGTGGGCCATGTGAGATCATCGCGACCCAAACGGAGAGTCTGGGAACTGACCCCAACCAAAAACGCTGGGGTTCGATTCAAGCTCATGCACATTTGCAGCAGCTATCGGCGCTCGTTCTCGGATGACACCTTTCCCCTGCTTCCAGCAGATTCTTGGTCGAAGGGAATACGGAGTCTGCAAGGAATGCATTTCATGGGCGCAAGAACAAACCACTCAGCCCAACAGCCGGAGGGTCCTAGTGCGCGAGAACTACTGTAGCTGGGGTGCGTGGATTGTGGTGACATGACAGATGTTGAAGCTATACAATCAGCAAAGTGGGGCGGCAGAGCCATGGTTCACACAGGTTCATTCTCCGAAGTTTGTAGTTTTTGTTGGGATTCTGGGAGATGTAACCGGAACAGGATAGCCAGTGTCAATCCACCGAGATAGGATCGATAGGTTTGTGTGATCGAATTCATGGAATTCCTTTTGGCCTCACTGAGGTACGTCTAACACAGTCTAACCAGACTTACATGCCTCCAAGATTAGGTCTTCATCCGCAGGTGTCCTGCATTCCGGACATCTACGAAGTTTCTTCCCTCGCGCGCGGACACCCAGCAAGGAAAGAGTTCTTCGTCGCTTGGCAGACAGAATTGCCCGTTTGCAGCTTCTAGCAAAAATAATCAAAGATCTATCTACTTCAGGATGGACATAGCCATCTCGTCACCCTTTTCACCTGTAAGTTCATTCAGTCAGTCCAGCTCAGTCAGAACTCCGATCGCCTGCTTGCAGACAGCGATCTTCGGCTCGGGCACTACCTGGACCCCCCAAACCCATGGTTTCATTTGTTCTCTTTTGGGTAGCGATGCAGAAATCAATGGAGTGCCCATGTCCCAACACCTGACAACACCTGACAACACCTGACATTTCAACGATGCCGTTTACATGCAATACACAGGGTTTGGTCGTTTTGGACTTTGGCCAGCTCCCATCACCCTCCCTCCCTGCAAGGGCTTAACTTCTTTCATTTTTTGCCTCTTTTGTGGGCTGAAGCATGTCCGGCCCTTCCGGCTAGTCAGTGGCGACAGTCTCGGCTGTTTTGGAACATGGGTTTCCCATCCGGCTTCCAGGCAGAAAGAGAGAGTGGAAAACCCTTCCAAATTGCTCGGGCAGTCAGTATTGTTTGAGATAGATGCCAGGTTCACGGCTTCACAGCGACAGTTGGTAAAGCTTCACAGCCTCACAGCAAGCCGTGACCGAGAATAGGATGGATCCCGTGATGGATCCCGTCTTGGTTTTATGTGTGCCACGTGCCACGTACTTGCTAATCCGACCCTCAAGTGAAACATGTACAAGAGACATGCTTTTGTACCCATGAAAGGTTTAAAGTGTGGGTGGGCCCACCTCAATCACCTCAGCCTGTCTTGTTGTCCTGTTCCTGCCTTGATGACAGCAAGTCGCATTCAGCTCATACTGCATACGTGAAAAAAGCGACACATCCAAACACATCCCTTTATATATGATGAATAGTCAGTGTGCCTCAAGGATTGACTACACAAGGAGGCAAAGGTTTCACTGGCACCCATTTCAAGTTATAATCTATAGAGCATCACTGTCCGAACCCGCCAAGCCCTCAGAAACTCTGGGACTTCAAGCCCAACAAGGCTAGGGCCTAGGGTGTTCAAAGGGAGAAATAGTTGCAGTTGAGTTGCAAGTGGACGAACATGTTCCTGACCCACCGTATGAAAGTAGTAATGATGACGAATCAAGTCTCTCTCTGTACAATACGCATACATGTATCCAGAGTTCATAGCTTCAGGTTCCATCTCCTTCCATCCCATCCATCAATCATCTCCTTCGTTTCGGGGGAAAGTACTTTCTTTCCTTCGTATCCAGGCCCGGAACTTTGTGCATATTGGGCTGCGACGGGATCTGGGACGTCCGGGCCCGTCCCGGCCGCCGAGTCGCCGAAGACGCCGGACGGGTGAGACCGGGCACCACGGCGGGTGGCTCAGGTGGGTATTGCTATAGCAGTATGTGAGGAGCTGGAGAAGAGGTAAGAAGTAATCACCATGCTAATTGAAGATGGGTCGTGAACGAGAACTGCATTGCTTCTGAACCATGACCATCCAACGTCTAAAACCAATCAGTTCAAGGAGGGCATGAGGAAACTGCCAAATTCATCCAAGTGCACTCTATTTCCTTGACCGAATGTAACCCCTGGAAATCCAAGGATTGAGCCTCTGCCATTTCTGTCGACGGCTCCCGCTAGTTGCAGCTTCAGGGATTCTCCAGGTATTTGGTCGATCCTGGTCCACTTCCTGTGTCCGGCGGTGGTAGACACAGATCACTCGCCCTTGTCGCGCTAGGTATAACAGTCTAACCTCCTGTTTCGAACGGATTCGAAACGGTTCGAGCTTGGGCAACGCCGCCGGGTGCCCCGATCCCCTCCGATCATCCCAGGTCATGACGGCCGAGCAAGTGGCGGGGGGATCTCAGGGGCGCCGTGGAAAACGGTGCAGGACGAGTCATGCGATTCATGGTCTAACCAGGAGCTACGAACGGAACAAGTGCATCCCGCAACCCAAAACTCCCATCCAAAGGAACTAAAGGAACCTAGGAAACACCTTGCTAGTGTCAGACATACAGCAGTCATCCTGGGTCTGCTACAGGCAAAAGACAATGTCGTCACCTTTTTTGAGTGATTGCTACCCTGCCTTGGGGGGAAGGCTCTGCGGAAAGTCGTCTCTTTTTCCCAAACACAAGCGAACTCTGTTGGTTGGAAAGGGACCTACATTTAGGTTGTATGCTGGGGCTCTCATCGAAAGGTGTTTTAACGCTATACTGGCAACTCATAAGGGGTCAATAATGCCTGCTGAAGCAATGAGTTTCTGATTCTGCAGTGCTGCAAGCAGTCCAGGAAGCAACACAGTCATTTCTAGGCTTGCCAATGCAGTTCGCAATGGAACACCTGTGGACTTGGACAGATTACGCCAAGATAGCGAGAGCTACTGGTGGTTTGCTGCTGCTGCTGGCTGCTTGCTCCTGCTCATGGCAGAATTTCTACAGCGTTCCATTGGGATTGACGTGCAGGAAGCGGATGTAAATCAATCAAACCCACACTCTTTCAGAACTAGCTTAGCGTCCCATTGGTCTTTGCACTCTTTGGGTCGGCTTTTTTGGTGACAGACCTTGATTGGGTATCAGCGTTCCATTGGGGTTGGCTCCCGGATGACTTTTTGGAAACAGCGTTGCCATGGTGATTTGGCATTGAAACAGTGACCAGGGATGACTGAGGGATAACTTTGTCAGGTTCCTGTATAGGCTATAAATCCCAAGGGTGGACCTTGTATATGTTACTAGTAGCAAATTAACTACCAATAGGCGGCAACCTTTTCTGAGAATCCGGGCCCTCCAACGAGTTTTGAGGGTCCGGACCGCTGGTCTGGAAGGTCCGACCCGAAGATGTCAGGCCCACTCTCGGATTCTTCGGGTAGCACGCGGGTTTCGCGCGCGGCGAGAGTTCGCCGAACCCGAGGCTCAGTTGGTGTGCGAGGCATTGGCCACCGACCTGGAGCCTTGGCCGATCTGATCCTAGTGGTGTGCCCCCAAAGGGATCGTGGAGCCATAATTCAATGCTTAAGGGGCTTAAGATGGCTTAAGGTCTAATTCATGACTGTACTCTGGAGACATATGGTTTGGAACACTGCTCCATGTCCGGGTCTCCAATGGAGACCAAGAAAAAGCAGTGGAACACTGCTGGCCGGCCGACCCGGAACGGAAGCAGCTGGTTGGGAATCCCCAATCGAAGAGTCCTCAAAGCGTCTGTGGAGTCGTCCAAGCGGCCGTCTGTGGGTGCTGTATATTGGGAGGGATCGTTGGAAGAGTTCCAGGAGGAGAATACTTGAATACGCTATACAAACCTATGGAACATGATCAATTGAACAGATTCCTCTAAACATTCGGGATGTCAACCGTACTCGTAACCATGGTTTGTAGGGTGAGGTTTTGACCCGCACCCATATTCAAGGCATCGCCATTTGACGATCTTCGACCAATTTCACACCACGTCAGACTGCCGTCATGTCTGGTGGTCCAGCCACTCAACCCACGTTTTGGCGCTCCCAACTCACACAGCTCACAGAGCTCACACAGCTCACAGCTCTTCGTATCAGATCCGAGGATCTGGGCGACATCGCCGCGGAGATTTTGAGGCAGTGCCTTCAGAGGTGCCATGGGCAGGGGGCAGGGCAGGGGGCTGGGCTGTGGAGGCGGGAGTGAAGCCTGGGAAGTTATAGAAATAAACAAACGGTGCTTGACATGGAAGTATTACTGTATTATGAAGTATTGAGATAATGACTTGCTCAAATCGCCAAGATGTTTTGTTTGGGTTTCTATGTTTGTCAAACTGGCTCTTTCTGTGATCAACCCAGCATGTTTGTGTCGACGCTAACCCTGCCCGTCAGGAACAGTCGCGACAACATGACCTGCATGATCATGCACTTTGCTGATGGCAGTGATTGGGCAAACTTCCCAGACGAGATGAAGAACTACGACAAGCTTCTCGGCAAGACCTCAGAACCATGATCAAATACTTGACGCGAGCATATCCAAGCTCTTCTTGGTTGCAGGGACTTTCACTGACAGCAACCTGACTTGAAAGTACTAACACAGCCACCTAGAAGAGGAAAAACCAAAACACCTTTTCAATCCTCGGTTGAGATGCCGCAGGATGCATCTTTACGTTGGGAGGGCAAAGCACTTTAGGTTATTAAGGCTGTTGAGACACAATGAATGATAGTCAGTGCCTTCCTTTCTTTGGTCTTTGTCACAATCTCTTTTTTGCAACATGGGTACCTCATTCCACAGTTGCCTGGCAATGCCTGACACGTCCATCCTGTGGTTCGAAAGCTGTGGTAGACTTTGATGGTTCAGTTCCCTGGAATGCGGAGGACTGGCCACCTGAACGGTGCTGCGAAGCTAAGTCCATTTGTGCTCTGGTTTTGGCACCAGAAAGTGGCATGCAGGATTCGTGTTGCTTCAGGCTTTACAACATGACCACCGATTTGCAGATTTGCAGAATTTCGTTCTCAATCTCAAGATAAGGATCCACCATCATCATCTCGATTGATCACTGGCACTAGCAGCTGCGAATTCAAGATATTTACTGTAGGCAGCTCATATCGGATGCCAGACCGGACTGAGAAGCTCCCCTCTGGGCCCCACCGAACGGGGAGCCTCGGAGCGTCGGCCGGTGCGATTCATCCTCCAGGCTCGCGAATGGCGATCACGATGCAGGGGGGCCCCGGTGGAGGTGGTGGAACGAAGGAAATGGGCCCAGCATTTGGTCGATTCCCAGCACTCGTCGCATCGGGCACGACATTGTTGATTCGGACCCCGAAACGAACGGACGAGAGTTGCTGTTTACAAGGAATGACACGGACAGGGGAATGTTCATTGGCCGGGCCAAGTCATGACGTGAAGTTTTCGCACATCGAAGCATCCAAGTGCCTTTTCCAGTGTGCCAGACATGCCAAAAGTGATAAATACAATGTACAGTAACTCCTACCATGCACCCAAGTCTCAACCAATGAATGTTACCTGCCAGCCACGACCTGTGGGCATTTTTTCCTCAGGAAGATGTGCAGAGCCATTACGCCTCCTTCCTATCAACAGCCAAGTTTCCAGCGCAGGCCGGTCGCCACAGCAGCTTTTCGCCGGGTCGTGGAGGTCGAAGACCATTCAGTGATCCTAGATGATTCATAGAATTATACCAGCATAGACCCCAAACAGTTTCAAACCGATTTCAAAGATAGAAACCCAAGCGGAAAAACCTGTTTGGGGAAAAATCACACCCCGCGGGCGCCAAAAATGGAGACCCCAAGCGACCTGAGACTGCAAAATATATAATTATAAGCCATACAAGCAACTGAGTGTTCTGTTTGGTGTGCAGCATGTTTGTAACATGCGGGACTCATGCTTCATGTTCATTTGAGTGTTTTGGGAGCCTCAACTAAACCTGACCCCAATAGAGGAGGAGCGAAGCCATAGCCGCCGTGAAGCCAGAATTTGCTTGGGAACATGTCGTTGATGGTTTCTGCAGTTTGACAGATCTACAGAATCATACCGGGTATATCCGGTGGCAACTTTGTACCGCACATGTAGAATGTCCACGAAAAGAGGAGACATTGGGTGACCCGAAAAGTTACTCTCGCATACTCTTGCTATCTCTTGCTACTTCAAACGTCGCAAAAGATCCTCTTTGGACTTGGATGGACGGCTAGTTCGACATCTGGGACGTTTGATGTGCGGGTCTCAGGATTGTCATTCCCATTGCATGTTTTCTTCAGAGAAGCAACACCGAACAAGCCCATGGGCGCCATCGAATATATCCGGCCTTCTTCGAGTCTTCTGCAGGCGGTTGCCTGTGACGTTTGTCAAAGATGGCTGGTGCAAATGCAGCAGTTCGGGTAGCCCAGAACAGTGTCTATAGGTCCATCTCACTGATGGCTTCAGTATCAAGCATCGTAAAGGGCGGTGGCATGCGACTGCCATCCGTTTTGTTTGGGAATATCATGGAATATCCACTGGAACCGGCATGAAAGGGTTGAACTTGTAAGACAGTGCACATAATATTTGCTTGCTTACAGGTGGGTGTCTCTGAATTCGTTGGCTCTAAATCGAGCGCCGCTTTGAATTCGTACTTGACAGAACCAATTTGATCACCGATTTGAAGCATGTGTTCCTGTTCATCAGACAGAAACGTACTCCATACCGTCCAACTCTGCTTCATCCGGTCACTTCTCCGAAACGGACGACCTTTGGACGAAGCAGTCGGACCGGCAGAAGCCGGGTGCCGGTGAGGTGCACTTGCAAACAGACCTTCTACTGCAGCAGGTGCGGGCTGGGAAGGGGTTTTGTGACTAGTCATGACTAGTCACGTCCTTGCGGGCAGACTCGTACACAGGATATTATTTCAAATTACATTCAATATTTGTGATGGGCATTAAGAAAGATAGGTTTTTGATGGGCTTTGAACTTCATCCTCCAGTTCTCTTTGAGGAGAATGGAACTATGTCCATTGTGTTGTTCAACATAAATGACATGAATGCAGCTTTTGTGCTGGTGGCAAACAGTGGCGAAGACACTCAGAGGCTATTACAGTGTTACAGTAAATGCAGCGAATCCGGATTTTTGTGTGAAATTCTGAAGATTTCGAGATTCCACGCACGTCCTTTGGCCCAAAAAAAAACCAAGCAACAAGCGCCCAGCCACTGCTTCTTGCTCGTTGGGAGGGGGTCCTAGCTGAGTCGTTGGCACCTACGGTGTCGGTCCCCTATGTTTCTTCAGTTCGAGTGTTCTCCAACTCTCCACTTAAGTTTGAGCAAATTCATGTTTCAAGTCTCTCTCTCTCTCTCTGACGCACAGCTGGTTGTTTCTGAGGCATTGCCAAAAGAAAGGTTGGAAGGCGAATCCGGAATCCGAGAGTGAGGCGTTTTCGCTGGTTTCAACGGCTGAAGGAAGAAGTCCTGCAGAGTTTGGAGAAGAAGCCTCACTATAAGTTGGAGCATTTGATGGGATTTCGAACAGTAGGGGTGAAACCCTGCAGATAAACATTCCTTCAACTTCAACTTTGTAGACTGATAGTGTTCATTTTGGTGTTCACTGGTGCAGTGTTCACTCGAAAACACACTGGAATGTGCTGGGAAATAAGTATATACACACATAATATATACACTATAACTATACACAGTAGCAGTAGCACCCTGCTGTTTGTGATCCGAGTTTTGCCTGTAGAAGTTGTTTGGGACGACTCCTCTACGAGAGAGGTGTGCTTATGCATGATATAACTGAGGTTCTTTACAAATGGTCATAAGAACTCTTGAATCTCCCCTATCCCTGTCCGCAATCTATGTTTTCCGGCCACCCCACGGCCATCCTCCCTATGATCAATATTGATGATCGGACTTCTGACATGTACTGACCTGAATTCTGAATGGCTGCTTCTCTACCGGACTTCACACGACATTCAGTTCGTCGGGGGTGGGGGTTGGAACGGTGAACAATCCTTGCGATGGCTATGTTGTACATGACCAACCCAGTAGGTAGTACCTATATAATATATATAGTTATATAACATATCACCAGCAGGCAGGTTATGCTGGATTTGTGTTTTCATCTTTGATGTTGTTCACCATCGTGCGTCTAGGGATTCTTCAGCCAGGCAGGTGGTTGACACCACCCCGGTTGTCCAGGACCTTCCAAGTCCGGTGGTTTTCTTACACCCCGTTCATTACCGACACCCAGAGGCGCCTCGTTCCGGCGAAACCTCTTGGTGTCGGTCCGTCGGCTGAAGATGAGCACCTTTGGGTCGAACGTCTGCGGCAGAGGGCTTTTCGGGGTGGACCAGCTACTGTACAAGCTTTGCGTGACAAGACGACGGTGGACACATGGTGGATGAGTCATGAATGTCAACGCCACAAGCGCCAAATTTGCATTCTGACACTTCTGGGTTGCCTCAATCTCAGGTGCCCTTAAGTTTTAACCCTGCCTCCCAACCTTTCCCAATACTTCAAAAAACCTACTTCCCAGTCACGTCTCGCGGTCAAAAACCTACGGTTTTTCACCCAGACTCTTACTGCTCCATCACTCCATCACTCCACCAACACAAAGCCAGGTGCACTCCGCGGTTTGCCCTACAAAGCTGGACGGTGCGCCGCTGAAGATTGGGGGTGAGACGGATGAGAGCTCGTGTCTTGGAACAGAGAGAGCTTCCAGTTTGCCAGATAAAAAGGTTCTTGGTCTCCCTCTTGGCCACATTTATTCTGATTCTATGGTGTTTCTGTATTTCCCAACAGAACATCATGCCGGACATCAATTGCATCGTTGGTGATGTTTAGGTCAACTGCCAAACCGTTTGGTGTCTGTCACGTACCCAAGCACCATCTCAGGTGCCAAGCGTGAGAGCGCGGCCGCCTGAGAGCGTGTGGCGATCCTCTCTCCGGCACGAAGAATATATAACTCCTGGTCCTTGTTTTCCAAACGGCGTAATATGCTCTCCTGTTGCGTCACATCCTTTCATGGACCGTGATCAAAAGTGTGTCACGTAGAGACTGTAGAGGTCTCTAAATAGATCGACATGAATGCTATACATCGGCTCTCACATGTCAAACACGCCACCATAATGTGCTACCAAGACAGGGGACTTCTCTTTTTTCGGGAGACATTCGTCCGGCACCCGAGAGCTTTGGTCGGGAAGAGTCTTTGAGGACATCGTGAAACAAGTGAAACATGTACTGTGCAGATTGAAAGCATGGAAAGCTGCTGGGGCATGGTACACACATGTACACATCCATTTTTGCGATGAACGTCAATTGTGCTATGTCAGTCTTTTTGAACATCCTACTCCCACTATCATCCACGATCAATGTCTCTCAAGGCAACAGGATGTTCTTCATCTGCATGATGCTTTTGGGGGGGGACACCCTTTTTATCAGAGCGGAACATAGCGGCGCGAACGGAAGGGGCTCGCTAAAGCGCCGAATGCCTTGGCCGCGCCTGGAACCGGCTAATACGTGCACAGCCAATACCTGCGCTCAGCTCGCTCTGATGTTCGCCGAATGGGTCAAGCGTGTCGGTAGGTAGGTCTGACAGAGCATGATTTGGTGAGGATGACCACAACATGGCTGGCCAGCTGCGCTCTGCCAAATTGTACAAGTTCTGCCAAAAGCTTGGAGCACGACGAACCAGTGACACCCTGCACTGTGACACGCCTGTGAGTTGTAGCCCTATGCCATGGACATGGGTCCTAATGTGTGAAAATCCAGCAAATGCGATACCCGCACAAACAATTGGGAAAATGAACCCCTTTGCAAAACATATAATATATATATATATGGCGTATATATATATATATACCTATATATTCTATATACAGTATACCGTATTGCTATTGTATGATCATGTATGACAGACATTTACACATAAAATATGATATACAGTAGTACGATATAGATGGTATTAGACATCGTGAAACAACGTACAGTAGTCAAAAAGGTTGCCTTCAAGTCTATGCAGCAGCATGGTGTTCACCCCCAACAGATTGAACACATATTAAATGTATACATTGAAGTCATTATTCATTCAGCATATATATATAATTACATATACATATTAGATATGATACGATAAACTGTTCATGTGCATTCATGCCACACCTCCCGTACTGACAGAGTTTCAACGCCTAACCCGGCAGATGAAGTAGGCCACATACATACTTGCTTGGCTCTGGAGTCGGATATTGTTAAGGTCCTGGAGTCGGAAATTCTTCAGATCATATTCCCCTTTTGGTTTGAACCTTTGAACGACGAATCAATAGTTGTTTGACCCAGAAGGCCGACACGGAACTCAGATGAACGCGACCGCGTTTCCACGCTTCTTTGGAACGCTCCCACGCGTCCCTGCAGAATCCAGGGACCCTTGAGCGAACCGTTCCTGGCTCGTTCCTGGGTCTCAGACCGTGGGGCTTCGGTTCGAGCGCTCCGATCGACGGCACGGAGTGTGGGTCGAAAGGTGGGTGGCGATGTGGCCTGGCGATGTGGCAAGGGCGGTTAGGAACACAATCAGGTACAAGGGTGTCTCTGCCGAATATCCGTTCACAAGCACGGGCAACCCGCTTTTGGGATCTCGATTCGCAGGCGTGACTCGCTGTTCTCACATGCTAGAGAATATGGCTGCACTCAAGCAGTCGCGCAAGAGAACCTGTTCTTGCAATAAGAACCTCCCTGTTTGTTTATCCTATAGGAAATCATTAACTTCTTTGATTAATACGCAACACGGTGTTGTTTGTCCCTTTTCGCAGATTTGAAGCACCTTGGGCTGAAGGGTATTGGAGGGTCAGGTTTCTTTGGAGGATAGGCTAGATCCGCTTCCAGAGCAAGCTCTGATAGCTGGGCCGTTGTCAAAATGAATCTAATCAGTCTGATGATTCCAATCTTTGATCATCATTGGGGCAAGGATGGCAATTGATCTTTCTTTGTATGCATATTTCGGCAGCTTTTCCTCAGCTCAATGCTGTTGGTTTCAAGGACCAACATGTAAGATTTGAGACAACACACACGCATAGAGATCAACAGTGATCTCACTTTGCATTTGCAAAGACACTTAAATGCAAATCTAGTGACAGTATATATGCATGTTAGTTTAATCTCTCTATATATATAACTCCAAGTTGAGTTTGCACCGCTACACTTATAAGTACCACACCGGTAAGATGCGGAGAGGATCTTGAGAAGGAAAAATGATTCCAAATCGGAAGACTCCTGAAGATAGACAGACATCTGGAAGAGGAACATTTTCGAAAAAAGAAAACACGAACAGTTGTCCAAAACTACTTCTCTTATCTCGCGGGGCGTTTGGAGCCGCCGCCTCCATGGCCCCATGGCAGAGAAGGTGGGGTGCGAACGCCAGCGCTGAGGGCATGTTTCGATGCCAAACACAATGCCTCGGATGCCCGATGCCCAGTGGAACCCCAAAAAGTATCATAAGGTATAGGTATAGGTCAGGATGGTGACTGTGGCTTTTCGTATTCTTAGTATCATTTAGTATCTCAAGATCTGTTTGTGGTGGACATTCAGCTATGTCAATATTTGAGATTATCCTACATGCATACATGCTATTTGGAAGCGTAGGCCACAATGTTGTGTGTGATCTAAAGCCCGCAACCTGATGTTTGAGGCTGACCAAGAAGACTATTCAGGCCCTCCCTGTGAAATGGAAGACCACGGTGAAAGTAGCCTTGGCTACTGCTCCTGGACAGAGGGCCAAGCGTCACATGGTCTAAACCGTAAAAGCACAATCATCCTAGAGAGTTGGAGTTGAACATGCCGCATTCCAATCTCATGAGTCGCACTTGACATTTTTTCATACTGGTACATTTACGTGGGTTCTGGATGTTCCGCACTTGACCTGCGCTGATGTCAATCCCAGATAGGATCACGTTTATACACACACATGACGTATATATGTAATTAACTGCACTTTTTATTTGTTGAAACAATACAGACTCTATGTTATCTACTATATTTCCACAGATCATGTCTTTGTTCTTATATTTACTACATTCGCAAGACAAAGGGGACTTCATCCACCTGGAGGAATGCACTCGAATCATCCAACGACTAGGGAAAGGCTGTAGGACTGGCCTTGGCGGCCTTGCAGGACTGGCTTCCCCCCGTCGGAGACTGGCTTGCACATCATGCAGGGGGGCCTGCCGTGGCCGAGGTCGAACCACACCAGCTCCGCGATTCGTGATCCATCTCGCAACCTGCAGCGCTTGGAAACTGGACGGCCAGGACAACTCGGCGACCCGGGCGCATCGTTCGCCCGGCCGCGCGCGCTTTCCGGTGCGAGGCCGGACCTGCTCTCATTGAGCTCCCAACGTCAGCCCGTGGGCTCAGTAAGTTCTGACTTAAAAAATGCAAGAACATGGACCTTCCAGGTGGGACAATCAAAATTTGACCCCATTAATGACAGTATTCAGTTTCATGTGGACACGTTGCATGTTTCAAAAAAGAACACATATGTAAATATATATATATACACATAAATACAGGGTTTTAGGAGGAGAAGTTCTCAGGTGACCCCGTCGATTTATGCCTTGAACGCTTGACTGGAAGAACTATGCTTTTCGAGTTCACTTCGTCTGTAGAACCTGAAGTCTTTCATAGGCCTTCAAGGCCGCTTTTGGGATATGTTTTAAAAGCTAAAACAACTCCTCGTGCCAGCCATTCAGCAACGCATGGCGCACATGAGAAAGCAAACAACTTGTTTCTGCCGTGTTCTCCCCGTCGGTCTTCAGGTGCCAGAGCCGGAGCCCAGTGGACGGGGCGAGCTGTCAGGAGAGCCTCGGACCTCCATCGGTGGACGGTCATCGTTCGAGACCCGGTCGTTGGACCATGCGAGGCACTTTCGCATCGGTGGACCAAAACCACTCTGAACGGTCAACGAGTTGGGTGGAAAAGTGGCATGGAACGATATGTTTTCATTGTTTGCCCTTGGGAACGAAGAAGCATGTTCTCCAAGCGAAGCTCCCAGCAGATTCCCCTGACAGGTCTCCAAAGGCAGATCCACTGACCTCCACGACATAGCAGCATGTCTCAATTCAAAGCATAATAAGATCATATAAGATACAAAAAAAACACATATATCAAACAGGCTCTGATAGATGATCTGATAGATGAGTTCCCCTCAGAAACTCCTGTACGAATGGTGGTGCTTGTTACTTTTTCCCAGTAGGTGAAATTGACATCATACCCAATCGAAAAAGGAAGGGAGGCATCCAGGCCAGAGTTTCAAGGTGAGTTTGGTACTAAAAATTGTACTGTGTTGGAGTAAGCTAGGTTTAGATGAACAGATCGATTTGGATTCCGCACTGCTCCACACCCACGGAAGGAGACCAATCCTTGGCGGAGAGCAGTGCAGCTCGAGTATGGCATTCCCAGTCGACTCCGAAACGGATTCCATCGATCGCGCGGTGCAAGCAGTGATACAGAGGTCTCGCTCTCACTGAAGGTAGCAGTTCCTTTTGGACAAGTTGAAACTTGACAGTTCACTGTTTTGGAGCAAGCACATTGTTTTGGAACAATTCCAGGGTAAGCCACAAGTGGTCCAAGGGGTCCTCCTCCATGTGAGAGCATCACTAACTTAGTGTCATGCACAGCCGAGACGCACTTTCAGGTGAAGCAGATGCTTGAACGCCGGGAGCGAAGCTTGTCCAGGCAGAGGGCCCTAGCACAGGGTCCTGCATTGTCTCGTTTTTTCACCTTTTTGCAAGACCTGTCAATCCGTGATCTTGCAGTTAGGAGTGCAAATTTACTGATTTACATGTGCTATGGCATGGACCATGGGACACGCATTCCATGTGTCCAGCTACCGTGACCATCGAATGGATTGTATTCCAGCTGTTGATCTACCACGAAAGAATGACCTAAAGATGCCCAGCTGGTAGAGCGTAACCAGGAAACTATACCTGAGTCTGCGGAGAGCTTGGAGAGTGACCTAAATAGAAAGGGACGGGTAGTGACCTAGCTTGGAAAGTATGTGATTCTTCTCCGTACCACGGGTCCTATACCAGTTTGGGTTTCTTGAACATTCTTGAACTGAGTGCGTTCATTGATGTTCATTGACTACTGTCAGTCTCTTTCTTTTCGACCTCACAAGAGAATTGAAGGCGCCAGCAAAGCGGTCGCTTCTCATTCCCCAGCCTGCTGCCCCTATGCTGCATCTCCACAGTCCCCATCCGTTCCCGTCAGAGACCCATGAGACCCACACCCGCTAGGCCGGGCCCTTCCTCGAGGCTCGGGCCCTTGTTTCTGCCACATGTACGGCGTCCTTTCTTTTTCCTCACCAAACTGATTCCAAAACGGCCCGCTGCGGGCATCAAAATTTTGTTTTCGTCCCTGACAGGGATGAAAACACGAAAGCACTCCCGATCGCATTTGGTGTCCACACAGGGACCATTTCTGGCACCCACGTCCCCACTGCGCCAGAACTCTTCCAGGTTTTCGGTGGACAAGGAAAACCGGTAAACCCTTAATTAATTGAGCAGCGTTCTAAATTACTGTATCCTTTTCCTCTTTAGTATCAGTGAACACAATGGTGTTAGCTGATGTTGAGACACCCCGACACCCATTGGGAGCGCATTCAAGGCCTAGCTCCAACCGTGGCCTGGCAGCGCCTACGGGCGCCTTGGTGGAGGATGAGCCTGGTGTCACGGGGGCTCGTCGACTTCAACGACTCAAATCAAGTGTGACTAGAAGGTTTCTGTTTCATTGCGAGGGCTCAAAAGCTGTTTGGACTGCTTAGAGTTGATATAGGGTAGAGGTGCAGTGAGGTGCAGTGAGGTTCAGGTATTCCCCTCTCTGAGGGGACATTGGGTGAATTCTGTAGATGGTGGGCGAAATATTGCATCTTTTGCCCTTGAGCCCTGCAGTATTACAACAAACATTGACAAATGAAGAAAGAAACACATAGAAACACACGAAAAAACATAGAAAACACATAGAAACACCTTCGTGTGTTTTCTTTGTCTTTCTTTTTTCTCGAGTTCGTTTGTTTCTTTGCTCCTCCGGACGAGGTTTGGGGCCCCTTGTCACCATTCTCGGCCGCTGTCGACCGTTTCCGGCGGTCGTCCGTGTGGTGTCCGTGATCTTCTCGTATAGAGAATGTCTTGTAGACTTTTGACTGCAGTCATAGTAAAACCATGGAAAACCCTGCCTACCAGAATGGTTTTACGATGTTTCATGCCTCCATATGTCTTCTTCTTTATCAATCAACAATCTAAATGATGTAATTCATGTCTAATTATGGTGTCTCTTAATACGTTTTGTTTTATTGTTATTTATTGCTTGACCCCTCCAGGCCCGGCACTTGGAGCAAAGCTCTCAGCACTTCGGCCCAAGGCTCCACCCCGGCAGCTGTGCTCTCGCGCCCGGCGCGGCCGCTCTTGCCAAGGCTGAGCCCGTTCACCAACGCTCTGGGTCAACCGAAACACCCATGCCCCAGATGGAGTTTTTCTATTTTCCGGATCCCATCGGTTCCCATGGAAGAGTTCATTTGTGTGCAGAAGCTTCTGTTTCAACTTGTTTCATATTTGGATTTGTTGAAACTCGATGTTGATGCTGATGGACTATTCTGCACTAGCTACCATTTGAGAAACTCCTGGTTTGGAAAGGGTATTTGGGTTGGTGATCGGTGTTTGAAGTGGATTGAGGATCCCCAAGGGTATTTGAAGCAGTGAGCAAAATCCATCAACTATGTTACTATGTTGAATGTTTTCTGCAACAACATACCCTGCTCTCTTTCTTTCTTTTTTTCTTTCTTTCTCCTCTCTCTCTCTCTCCCTCTTTATTGTTGAACATACTGGACTCGGCCTTCGCTTCAGACCCCGAGATGAAACTTCGCACTTCACCGTGTCACGTCACCCGAATTCGGTGGTCGAGTCGTCGAGTCGGAGCGCCATGATTTCATACCCGAGGGATCCACTGCCACCTTCTCAGGTTCGGTACGACTGGACCCTCGAAGCCAAACGCGCCTCCAATCACCCTCAAAAAGAGCATATCTGGTTCGGGTCGCCACTTGAGACCGGTTCGGTAGCGGTTTTTTTCCAGGCGGTGTTTCCCTCCGGTTCGACACGGTCGGAGGGAGATGCTGTGAGGGTGTAGCAGATGCTTTGAGACATTGGTTCCTAAAAGACAAGGTTGCATAACTGATCTGTCCAGCAAAATCTGAGATACACAGGTCATTGATCAACACACTGCTATTTTAGATGAGCTTAGAGATCTTAATTGTTTGATATTGTTTGTGTTTGATTTGCTGATTGTCCAGAACATTTGTATGACTAGATGACGATTATTTTGAAGACCATGGAAAGCTTGCCAGGACACCAGAAGAGATCTAAGATATGGACTAGGGCAAAAGCACATGAAGTCATGACGTTGCTTGGAATCCCGGAATCTTGTAACAGGCGGATATCTACACGGAGAATGTACCTTGCTACTTGAGCGTCGCTCGTGTTGAGGTCCTTTCCGCAGCATGCAGTTTGGCCAGTCAAGGCTGGCCGACATGTTTTTCGTTCCCAAAAAGAAGGGCTGTGGATCGGGTGTTTCCCATGGTCTCACAGACACGACCAAAGCACCGAACAGCCCGTGACATGGGTGGTGACCCTGACCAGGACCTGAGCTCCTTTTGAAGAAACCGACCGAAACCGACTTCCAAACCAACCATCGACGGCTTCCCGTGGTCCAAGCTTCGCGGTCGCTTCCCTGACAAAGGTTGGACCAAATACTGGACCCGACCATTCCGAACCCGGGACTTCAAGGTGTATTACAACAATAACTTCGGTGATCCCTGAGGTGGGCAGCATCATGATATATATCACAATGCTCCGTCATTTAGGACTCAGTCGATTGAGAATGCCAAACCACAGCTGATGCTCGAGCCTAGTGACCTATAGTACTTGGTCATGTCTGCAGGTTGTGGATGCTGACATAAGAATACATTGCACCAGTATATCAGGTGGTTGCTCGAGATATTCACTCACCAGCAATTCAGTGTTCTGAGCTATGAAGCAACCACCAAGTGAATCGTGTTCAAGTGGGGAAGAGGCGTATCAGGGTGGCTCAGACTTACAATAAAGGCAGAGTCATGACCCGCAAGGGCTAATAGCTTGACATATGATTCTGTTTCTTCTTGTTGTTTTTCTTTATGCATGTGCATGGTTTGTTGCGTCAATCAATCATGATCCAACAAACTCGTGTCCCCCATCTCTAGACCCCTTTGAGAGTCCATCCAAGTCTCACCAAGTCTCACCAAGCGACTACTCAGGCACTACTAATTATAGGTGTCCAGACCGAGCCGCAGATGGAACTGCTGCCATGAAGCGAACGTCTCCAGATCTTCCGACCTCCAAAGAGGAGGTCCCTCGCTGGAGCTTTGAGGACTTGGTCTCGGATCTCACCCAAGCGTTGGCCAAGTGTCCTGGAGAAAAGCAGTAGCCGGCGTGGTGGCCGGGCGCGGTGTCCTACATTTGGAAGGGAGATGACCTGGGTGAAATCTCCGAAGAGGACCACTTCGTGGTGTAACATCTGTGTTGCAACCCATTTTACATCCAGTTTGGAAAGCTGGGCGTCTGAACAAAGTACAGGGAGGCCTTGGAGACCCAGCAGTGCTACTCTAGGAATCCATCCATAAAGTTGGATCTTGAGTTCCTAACCCTTTTTAGTGATGTTTAGTGTCTGATGACCTGTAGGACAGAAGGACCACCAAAATGATCAGAATGAAGAATCCCATGCAGTTGAGGGATGTCCTTCACACCATAGAAGAGGTTGTGAGGAAACCCAGCAATGGACTAGCTCCCCGAAGAGACCTACTGAGCCTCTGACTCATGGTTCAGACGTCCGAAGAGACAGAGTGAGTTTGCAATGCGTTTTCCAGGCCATGGCATTGAGCTGGTGAAAGACAACACAAGTTGATCTAAAGGGGCTGACGTCTTGGGGCTTTGAGATCAAATACAAAATAGGTGCCCCGTGAAAGATCCGCGTTGAGGTCTGCGAAAGGATATCGTATTTGCCCTGCCGGAATTCCAAGGTCCACGGACCTCTCTTTGTCGGATTTGTCCCAGAAGCGCTTTCCCATCACGGTCCCAGTGCAAGAGCGTTCCTCGCAAGTTGACCCGTGTGGCGGTGGGCGTAAAGCTGACACACAGAAACAGCCCAGCTCCCCTCCGATAGATGTTTTCAAGTGGCCGGTGGCTGAGTAAGGATTGTTTTGTGGCGGGGATATTTGTTCAAGACACAGTAGCGAACATAAATTATGCAAGTCAGGTTTTGTGTTTCACCCAAACAAGGCATTGACAAGATGCTCTGGAAACGAACGAAAGTCCTGGTTCATGTGTCCAGTAATGTTCAAGAGCTTCCACCACATGTTGTAGAATGTTTGGCAGAACTTCTCAAACTTTGCATTTGAGATGGTCATTTTTGGGTGCCAATGCTTCTTTAGTTTCCTTTTCCCCTTTACATATTTGTACTCATTAACTACACCCATCATGATCTGTTTGATGACTTCAGCCCTCAAAAGGACTACTATTTGGTGTACGTATTGCTGCTGATGGTGATGGGTTGACGATGCTTTTCTAGCGGTTCTTCATTTCCGGTTACATGTTGATTCCTAGAAGTTCCCATGATGTCTCCTTTCAATCTCGATATCAAACCCGAGTGATAGCGAGAGGCTAAGCTGAACCCCAGTCTGAAGAAAAGTGAGCAATGTACTTCCGATGCCCCTGCGTGACCTTGCATTGTGTAAAGCAAGGGGCTGAGCCTTAGAACACCAAGAAAAGGTGAGCAATTTAGTTGGATAAAGTCTTGTAGTTTCCTGCAATCAAGAGTGTAAGCAGAGCAGGATCCAGAGTAAGAAGTATTTGCAACCTAGCACGAGTCACGGGAACCGGCAACCAAGCATGAGGGGCCCATGTCACGACAGCCACACGATGGATCTCAATGCAACTTTTTTGACCATGATCCATCGAGGTTTGGAAGAGGTCCTCCACGAACTGCAATTTGGCACGGGCGCTGCACTCCTACAGTTTCCTGCTGACTGGCTCCTGGAGCAGGGCGAGGAGGGTAGTCAGCGAGCCTTCCTGGGGCTTTGCGCGCATTTGGGGCGCCCAGTCACACAATCCACAGACCTTCAGGAGCTGAGTCTGCCGGTGAGTTGATCTCAGGTAGAAGGAGGGATGAATGAACCATTGAACCATGATGCATTTGAAGAAATCCAGTGGTGAGTGGTGTCACTTGAAGCAGTCGTCCTGTCGTCCTTGGATCAGTCGGCCATGTTCCAAAGACGAGACTCACTGCGCCTCTCTCCTTTTTCCCCTGAAATAGTGAATAGGAGTGTGTGGGCTTCTGAATCAGCCCAGCACTAAATTGGCATCAAACCAAACGATTGTACCGCAGTAGTGATTCCAATAGACAGAAAACATGGCGCTTCAAGGACATCATGAAAAAACTTACTGTAATTGAAATTAATGGTTTCCATCTAATTGGGACCGCTTTATATAAATTTAAGTCTTAAGTGAACTGAACACGTAGTAAGTAACCAGCGCAACCACTGCCCAATTTCACTTCGTCCCACGTCTTCTTTCGGCCCAAGCCTTGACCGAGCCCAGCCGGTCGACCGCAGGAGCTGTGCGCCCGCGTGGAGGTGGCCAGAAGTCCAGAGGTCTTAGAGGCGAAGCATACCCAGCGCCGCGGCTATCGGAACGCCCAGGCGTGGTATTCCGGACTGCTCGGTCTTCCCGCCCACATGTGGTGTGAGGTGGTGGTGTTTGGGGTAGGTGGTTCGGGGCGAAGATCTTGGGATTCCCTCGCGTGCGAACAGGTGAATGGAAAAGAGTTGAGCCGCAGGTCTCAGCTTTTCTTATTTCTGTTTTTTGGCTATCTGGATGCATCAATAATATGTGCTTACTATGTATATATCGTATAATTATATATATATATATTGATGTAATACATCGTTTGCTGCTGGAGTGGTATTATATATATATTAATAAAATTCTATTATGTATTGCCATAGTCGCAAAAACGGGTTGCCAGCGAGAGAGCTTGAGAGTGACCATATGACCCTAGGGTCCAAGGCCTTGAAGGTGCAATGGCGGCCTTCAGCTTTATTTGGTTAATAATTAGTCTTCCTGATGATGATGTTCAGGATCATCTTCAAGGCCTTGTTTTTGACCATTGTTTTTCAGCACACCAGATGTTCCAAGGGTTTTTTTAGGGACAACGGTTCATGGCAGAAAATCCATGAACACACAGATCTATACGGATCTCATTTGGTCCAGTGGCTGCCACACTTTTGAGAATTGTGATTATCATATAGGCTATGTTTGTCTCATCACTCATCACTTGCCCCCCCCAAAAGGCAACGCTTGGAGCACAAACGGGAGGGTAGGGTGAACTTGGTACTCGTTTTGACGAGGGAATAAGTCGTGATGACTCCCCACATGGTTTGAGATGTTTTATGGAACTGTTGAGCAGTTTGTGCAGGCCACAGAAAACATCTCGGTTTCAAAGAAAAAAGCTCCGGATGCATCGCTCCCTCTTGAACGGGTTATATACTCAGAACATCTCAGTTCCACTCCCTCACCGCACTCACTTGGCTATGCAGGGAGTGGATCCAGATCGCCTCCCCCAGCCAGGATCAGTTTCTTCACAACGACTCCTCCATCCCAGCCGCCCGTGGTCAAGGCGACGGCGGATGTTTCACACACTTTGTGCTTGAAGCGTCGATTGAGTCTATGGCCTCATTGTCATAAACATATCCAGCGTGTTTGGCAGTTTTCCATACAACTTTCTTTTTGAGGAGAGGGAGTGACGAGTTATGTTTGTCAACACCGCAGGTGTATGTGATGTCCTGGCGATGCTGTGCTTTCGTCCTGCGCGCAGTGGGGGTCTAAGCAAGATGGCCAGCGCCAGAAAGATTCATGAACTGTTGCAACAACAGCCTCGGGTGCGACTTGGCTGCGTTCGCTTTGTCGACGATCAGGGCTCAGTGGTGGGGAACATCTGCTTTGAGGTCTCTCATGATGCGCTAGGGCGATCAGTAAACATGCTGCTGGGGGCTGGGGCGAGAGAAAAGTTCAGCTGAAGCTTGGACAAAAGTCGTAAATGCAGTTGTGAGATGGGTCGCAGCTTTTTTCTCTTGTGAACCTATGCGTTCAGCAGGAGGTTCGAAACAAGATCAAACCGTCACTAATCAAGTATGATATATATTTATAATTAACGTCATTGGACTTTATTAAACGATATTAAATTGTCTTGTGCGTGTACTAAACCTTTGTACCAGACTGAAGAAACATCCACCAAGAGGGGCCCCATTGAATGCCAAACCGTTGATTCGCCGCAAAAGCAAGAGCTAATACACAAACACTGGGCTGCACTTGCAGGCAAAGTTGGGTGAGTTCAGAACTGCTTCTCTCGGAACAATTCTTTGGTTTTTGTTCCACATATTACGTACACTATGCAGATGGCACACACACACACACTCAGCTGGACCAGTCGGGGGTCGGCATTGTGGTACACGAGCTCATAAAAAGGTTAGCCTCAGCGGAGCTATCCGGTTTGCTTTGGATATCACGGGGTTTGTTTGGACAAGATAATTTGGAGTCATGATAAAAAGTTAATATCGCGACAATATTGGCAAGTGGATCAGATGTCAGTAAAACAAGAAATGCAGCAGCAACAACATTTTCATCTATTTGCAACGACATGCATTTATTTATGTGTATTGAGACTAATTATTCATTGGGTTCTATGTTGGTTAGATATCAGTGTGTCAGAAAACGAAGTTATACGGGCCAGTGTGTTGGGGACACACAGCGAGGCTTGAATCTGTCCGGCACGGCTTCAAGTATGACGCTGCGTCAGTGGAGTACCATCCTGATTGGCGTCAACCCCCCACGGGCCAAGAAGCCAGACCCATGGTCTTTGAGGATGTCAATGGATTCCCCTGTGTTCAGTATGTCGCTTGGCAGCCAGTTGGCATGGCCAAACACCAAAACATGCCAACATCGTTTGAAACACAGCAGGACACGCATCAATGTTTTCTGTATTAGATTTAGAATCAACACCTATATATTTTAAATTTTATCCTATGTCCATCCTATTTTCATTTGGAGCCGTTCGTAGATTCACAAGCGCTTTAAAAGGACAAATAGTGACACAAGATATCGATGAGTCTCAAGGGGACATCCGTGGGTGTCCCGAAATTGATGTGGAGCGTTCTCAATTATTTGCCAATCGAGAAAGTTCACATTGCGTCCTAGACCTAATGAAACGTGAGGGTCTCCCTTTCTCCCTTTTGCCGCATAAGGGAAACCAAACACACACTTTGAAACTGGGATCAGGGTTCTCAGGGTCTGCAGTGCATGCAGGACCTCCAATCCCATCCAAAACCGAACATCAACAACAGCTAAGATCCGAAAACAGCCGCAAAGTCCTTGAAACTCCACCGGGTAATCCGCATGCTGTGTGAGGCCAAGAACATGGTGGAGACCATCTCAGCAGCTTATGCGAAGGAGGGAGGTGAACTGGACTCCGTGAAGGCTTTGCTGAAGAATCTGGAAGATGCCTGTAGCGATCCAGCAGTAGTGCATCTCGGCGAAGGTTGGAGGATGTACATGACATACATGACCAAGCATTGGGGGTGGGCAAAGTACGACGGTTGAAGACATCGTGCTAAAGGGACACTCCTTCTATACCTCCAGAGCTTCCTGGTGGAATTTTATGGTTTGAACATGTTTGAACCACTTTACCACATGTTGGACATCTCTGGCCATCTGACCGATGTGGAGCCGTTCGCATGTGGAGCCGCGAAAACCGAGGCAGTACTGGGACCTCAAGGCCGGCGAGGCCTATTTGGTGGACAACTATCGTTGGCTCCATGCGCGAACCCACTTCGAGGAATCCAAGCGGTTCCCACTGCGGGACTGAGGGACTGATTGAAGCTATACCCAGACACGACACATGGGACTGCCCTATATGCCTACATTGGCCCCCAAAACCACTGCAATGTGGGCATATATGGCAGTCCCATGTGGAGTGTCTGGGATAGAGCTGTGATGCCAAAAAGGACTCGTTGATGTCTTCCAACTTCCCATTGCACCATCGTTTGCATGGTGACCTTTTCATCCTTTTCATCCTTTTCCGGTACTCCCCGGGGAGTGAGGCTGAAAGCAGGGTCTCTTGATGTTCTTCGGATCCTTTGGGGTCAACTGGATCCTATAGGAAGACGTAAGCACCAAGACATGGGATGAAGGCAATTGCTTAAGAAGAAGCACCGAACGGTCTGTGCTTGGCGCGAAGTCGAACAAGTGCTCACCCTCTGGATGGGGCGGGTAAACACCCGACTCTATAGGTCTCCAACCTGGGGGCTCTTAAAAATGGACTGAAACTCCCAGTGGCAACTTGGAGAGTCTGGGTGAAACTCCCTATACCTTCTGAGAAGGTGATTGAACATGTCTATGCCGTCTCTCTTGGTCTCTTGGTCTTCGTTTGGTGCGGCTCGACGCGCCAGGACGACGCGGCGGCTCCACGGCTCTTCTTCCGGCTCTGGTTGCAAGTGGCTGACTTCGAACGCCAAAAGACCCGGCCATGCGCGGAATGATGCAGAACTTCTCCCCCTGGATCAGTCGATTCAGAACAGAGCATCAGTTTGCTTGATTCTAGAGGGTGTCCAAAACATTTGCATGCCTTTCTACTCGTATTGAGGGCCAGAGCGTAGTGCACCAAGAACCGGAGGTAGTACCGGACGTCGATGTTGCCAGCTTCAGTGGTCCTGCGCGGTCGCGTTCTGTGGTCTCTCCCATCTTACTCGTGTTTTTCAGAGCAAACACATGTCACACATGCCAACGATCAGAAACTGGAGACCTGGAACATCACCCTATGCAACTGATTCCGTTCCTTTATGTGCCTTTATGTTTGAACAGTACTCGGACAGCCGAAACATCCACCACGGCCATCGGAGGCCAATCCCGCTGCCAGTGATGCTGGCAAGGACTGCCAAACATGTGCACCCAATGAGGGCACACGTACCTCTTGAAGATCGGTTTGGGTCTTAAAGGGTACTCTTGCTGTGGAATCATGTGGAATCATTTCATGTATATAATTTGGGTTGTCATTGGTTTTGGGCTTCCCTGTGGAAAGGCAGAGCTGGTCTTGCAGCAAGGTTATGACTAAAGCCAGACCCTCGCACACCAAAAAGACTGGTTCGGCCAAAACATGGCCAGTCTTGTTGCAAAGGCTTCCTCAAGCATCTCGAACTGGACAATGCCCTACAATGTCCTTACATGATTACATGATACTAATCCCAGTACTAATCCCCTCCACATAAATTATAAAAAAGCAATGTATTAAGGACTATTAAGGGGGTTCCGACATTGTGTTATTTTTTTTTAATAGGGGAGTGTTTTTAAATAGGTACTCACTCGGGATACGTCCAGGTCCAGGTGTCAGATGTGGCAGGGTGAAGGACCCGAGCTCGCTGCGGCTCGACCCGATGCGGCAAGGACTTGATTGCAAGCTTGCAAGCGCGGCTGGCACACGTCGAAAAATTGAACCAACATCAGGCGGAACGGGGTTCCACCGGAGCCGAGCCATGCCATCTTTTGAGCCATGCAGAGCCCAATGGGCAAACCTTGGACGGTCCAATAATGTTTACATATGTTTACAACAACGAGACAGATTGGGGGCTTAGACGGTCCATCCATCCATCCATCCATCCATCCATCCATCCATCCATCCATCCATCCATCCCTTCTTCTCCCATCGAAACGGTGCGACTGCCGTTGCGGTTCACGTGAGGACGGCCATCCATGTCGGCGTCGGGCGTCGCGTCCCGTGGAATGCGTCCGTTTTGACAGTGAACAGTGAACACTTCAGGCAATGACCAAGCGGCAATGACCAAGCGATACGTTAAATTGGGATTGACCCGCACCACAATGAATAGTCCCATGGAGATTAGTTGAAGATGGCACAAGGAGCCGCGTTTGTGAGAACCAATTAGCAGCAGTCTTGACCCATTCCCATGCCCATTTCCCATGGAGGTAGCTCGATACGTATGGATTGTGGACTTGCTCCGGTGGTCCGACCCCTCATCATTCCAGGCTGCCAAGATTACCAAGCTCTCGCAAGAGTTGAACGCCGACGCTCATCAGATATATGCATCGTTTTGCATCGTCAGGCTTTGGGTCCCAAACGCCGTTGAGGGTGAGCACCGCTGCAGAACTGAACTTGTTTGGGAATCAAAGACATTTGAGAGTCACCATCAAAAGCCAATCCACCACGAATTACGGACATGGCAGTGCACCTGCATGAATTCTCCATTCCATTGCACCAAAAAACCCTTGAAGCTTGGCCATTTCAGAGACCAACCACCCGACCTGGGGGGACGACACGTCTTCCGCGCGGACCGCGGGGAAACCCGCGCGGAACGACCGAGGAGAAGGCGGAAAAGGTCCTTCTGCGGCGCGCGCTGGACCTGGCCGAGGCCGAGCACGGCGCCATGGAGGACGGAGCGGAGCGGTAAATGGCGTGGGCGTCGATGAGGCGGATTGATGTGCGTCACCGTAGGTCCGTCGCCTGGTGGGTATATGGCATTACATGGTATTACATATGGTATTAGTATTACAGTATGACATATATTATTTCACATGATCATATGGTATTCCAAGTGGCTTGAAAGACAAACGTTTGTGGAGATTTGGACAGTTGCCGGTTGCTTGTGGTATGTTGGATTTTGATGGATGTTGGACCTCTGGTAATAAAAGGACTTTGCGAAGCACATCCAAAATTGAGTTGACACCTCCCTCATGGCGCTGCGAGGAGGCGGAGGAAGATGTCGAGCAAGAGGTGCAGCTTTTGCGGAGTGAACCTGGGCGAAAGTTTCAACTTCGAGAAAGGTGAGAAGAAAAGAAACCACCTGGTATATCTATAATATCACAACACCCATAAAATCTCATGGCGACACCCCTTAGGAGCTTCTTTTGCTTCAGCTTTTGATCGCTGCCTGAGGAGCGAGATGAATACAAGGAACAGGTCCAAGCAATGACAAAGTTCTTGCGAGACTATGGCACCTTGGACGATGAGACGAGTCCAGTTTCGGCCAGGTTGGACGAGTTTTGTGTTCGTACAGTCACAAGTATGCGACCCGCTAAGAGGCTTTTGCAGTCATATCTTGCCCAGTCTTGCATGTTTCGAAGGCACGCATTTGATACAGTTCCAGTCTGAAAAGACAAGACAAGACCACAAAGTTTGGGATAGGAAAAAAACAGGCCAGTTTCGCAGGTTCTTGGATCACCATTCTTCCAGTGGGTCTTCGTAGTAACAGCTTCCCGCCTCGAAGAGCTTCGTTCGACAGCGAAGGACTTGAACATACACCATACACAGATCTTGGAACATACACATTGACACATGGAAGTCGTACTTACGGACTCCCAGAACCTGCTGCCAGAAAGTTCTGCACTACTTATGTCAGGCCCTCCTATCCCTCCAGGTTGACTGAAAGTAGACTCTGTTTGGGACCAGTGATGACCAATCAAAGGTCTTGATAGGTCTTGGTCTCTGGACTTTCATTGAGTGTGGTTGGATTCAATCACCCACAGATCGCCATCCTTTCCAGGATTCACCAATGACCCGATTTCAGTGACTGAAATCAAAGATTACACGAGGTATCACGGAGGAGTACATCAAATCACGTAAATCACAGGGTGTTTGGGTCTTTGGCCATTGATTCATCCATCACCCTGTCTCACACCGCTCTGAGGCCTCACCTGGGTCGGTGAGGAGGACCACGAGGACCACGGGGACTACCGGTCGCCCAACGGGGAGGCGACGGTGGCTGGGCAGCTGAGCCGCCCCAGCAGCGCGCTGGAGGCCCCCGAGGTGGTCGACGTGCAGGCCGGACTGGACGGACTGGACGGGAAGTGGGAGCCAGTCCAAGCTGGGAGGTGGCGGTAGGATTTGGGTTGAGATTGGGGTGCATGATGGTGGGTCAGAAATACTTTTGAGATATTAATACATATATTATATAGTTTTGGTGGGTCAAGCATGTGAAAGCTATAATAGAAATCCATAGACCGTTGCGAGGATGAACGGACGAACCGTCACTTTTGGGACGACTGTTTGGATCCATTTGGAACGGTTTCAGGATTTCTTCGTGTGAAGGATAGACGCCTGTTTCCCCCAGGGTGTGGATAAAACATCACACTTCACAACAAGATGGAGCCGAGCAATCAGGATGGTCGTTGGTGGTGATCCAGCTGGGTTGACTTGATCACCGGACCTTGGTGGACCCCTCCCGGGCCACCGAACCAAGGTTCCGCTCCACGGTCCCGTTCACCTGACTGGTGCGACTCCGTAGGGAATGAGCCACCCTCATAGAGCTCCCAATAGAGATTCCTTTGGATCCAGCCACCCTCATTCCCTACTAAGCAACTTGGTGAGCCCTCTAATAGAGATTTTCTCATTCCTTTGGATCCATTACCTCTAAGCACCGTGGTCGATGTCCGCTCTGTTTGAGGCCATGACTGCTCGGGTCTTGGAGCTCAATGGCCTGGTGGAAGGCGCGCGCGTGCAGCGGACGAAGAGCCACCCCGGTGCGCCGGTGCACGTGGGGAAGCCCAGGTGAAGCTTACGCACCGCACCGCTGGATCGACCCGCTTGGTTCGAGTGAACAAGCGGATCGTCACGTACTGCACTTGACTGCACTTAATCATACTTAATCACGTACACCCGGATGGGTGGTACTTCATGTCGGAATCTAGAGCGAAGAATTTGTGTATTTTCAAGACACTGAAGCACTATGCCTCTGTGTATTTACCCCATTTGTTCATCCATCAAAAGATGCTAGCAGGCTTGGCAGGAACCACAGTACATGTGCCCAAGCTGATCAACATATTTGGGGCTCTTTAGCTTGCCTGCACATAGACGGGGTTACAGGGTTACAGCCCATTTAAAAGCAACAACAACAGCATCTAAATCAAGATGCACCTGCACATAGAGTGAAGAATTCTCAGCAAGGATTTTGAATAAATCCTTCAAAAGGATCAGGCTCCAAATTTGCTGTGAGAGCAAAAAACAAAGGTCAAAGTATTGATCTGGATGGTGTTGATTGATCATCCACCTGTACCTGCCATTTTTGAGTGTTGCTCTTGCTTTCAGGCTGTTGCAGGATGATTCCCACTTGTAAAGCTTTCAGGCACTTGCAGGATGATTCAGGTCTGCAGACTTCTTTGGATCGATCGCTTGCCTCGCTCGAACTGTGTGTGTGTGTTGTAATGGCAGATCTTAAAACTTTCAGGCTGTTGCATGGCTTACTCAGGTCTGCAGATTTGTTTGGTTTTTAGATTTAGGAACTTTCATGTTTGCGGCGCTTTATCCGCTGGGTAAAAATTGTATGGAGTTGCTAAAGGCGCTTTCAATACCACACTCTGGTCAAAATCGTTGATCTTTTTGTAAGGTTCTGTTTTTTTTGGGGGGGGGGGCAGGACAGAACAAAAACACAAATTATACCTCTAATCTTTTGACTTATTGCGTTTCTTGTAAAGTAATTATCCTGAACCAGGGTAGCCATCAGATAACTTTTGCGGTGCCAGTCTTCTTTTGCTCGTTGTTGAAGTCCATCTCAAATTGACAGAGCTTTATTGATTAAGTGAAGTAAAGTAGGCTCATTCCACTTTAATGGCATCTTCATTGTAGTGCATTTGTTTTGCATGTTGAGTGCCTAAGTATCGCGCATCCTGCTGACTAAGGATTTCAGGTGTCAAAAGGGAGGACCAAACCGATAATCATATATACATAGAACATATTAGGCAAATCATATGAATAATATTCATATTGGCACTGCAAAGTGACCTTGGTTGCGCTGCAAAGTGCGCATATTGGTTGAAACCTTTTTTTGGGGCCCTGCTATAAAAACAATTATAATCAAGAACTTCGTTTTTGGTCCTCCCGATTGAGCCTGGTGGGCCCATCCATGGCTCATACATAGGGTCTGGCCTCCGACCCACCCTGAGGTTCAGACTAAGGTCAACCCAGGTCTGGATTCCGGCCTGTGGTTCAAGAACAAAAAACCAGTGTCTGGTTTCCGGCACTTGGTTAATGGTGGAGTGACTATATACCAGAGTCTGGTTACCGGCTCTGGTAGCACGGGGCCCTGGGGACTATGACGTCCGGTGCTCAAACAACAAAAGACCGTTCTTCAGTGAGCAGTCCATGGAAAGCGTTGGCAAATTATGTCATGTTATGCCACAGTGCTTTTAAGATGTAGTGAAGAGTTGTTAAAATCTCTTCTTCTGATTTGCAAGCCTTATCTCCTGACTCCCATCTTTTTCTTTAAAGAAATATGGGAGTCAGGAATTGTCCTTTTTCATTGCGGCAGTAAAATTTTAAAATCATGCGCGCATGTATGTTTGTATGTATGCTGTATGTATGTATGTTTGTATGTATGTATGCATGCATGTAAGTGCCAGGTCACGCAAACATCATGCAATACAAAGGTCGGAAATGCAAAGCTCACAGCCAGCTTGCCAAACTAAGGGACTAAGGTTACACTTTCGCTAAGGTTCAGATTCAGCGCTCGGTTGAAAAGCCTTGGACGCATTCTCTTGGTAGGAAACGTTTAGTGAAGTAGTGCATTAGTAGTGCATTACGTTTTTGCTGTCACAAGTTGCACTAAGGCCCCACGACTCCATGCTCGACCAAGGGGTGGCCTGAGCCCCATCTCGAGGATTTAGACTTTTTGAGATCTTCTTACACACTTTCTCATCAAATGCTCTGCGCATGAGATCATGTGTGTTACGCAAAGGGCTCTATCTTTTTTCTTACCCAGCTCAGCTCGCGAGGATTCTTCTATCACCTTGCTTCAAACAAGATGCATCACGATGACAAATCGATATTTGATTGCGATGTTGTTGAAACTTGCAAATTCTCAAGTGTCGAATAAATAAAGCTTATGGCTTGGGGCCTGACCCCACAACGGCAAAATGCCTCTTCAGCTGCTTTGCGGCCTTCTTCTTTTCCTCCTCAAGTGTAAGGTACAGAAAGTTTATAGCTTGGGGCCTGACCCCACAACGGCGACATGCTTACTCAACTGCTTCGTGGCCTCCTTTTTTTTCTTCTCTTCCTTTTCCTTCTTTTTCTCCTCCTCACTTTTCTTCTTTTTCACCTCCTTATCCTCACTTTTCTTCACCGTCGATGAGGATGATCCAGCTGAAGTACCTGAAGCCCAGCGTTCACCGTCTCACAACCTTTGCATGACAAGCGCGTTGTAAACTTGCCTTCGTCAAGAAGCACCCACAATGCTTCTACGGTCGCGTCGGCCTCGCAATCGATTCTTTATCTAATCTATCCTTTTGTTTTGCATGACTGGTATGATTGAGAATCAGCTTCGCGACACGAGAACCTGCCTTGTCTGCTTTCTCTTCGGCTTCTGCGACTTTCTTTTCGGCTTCTGCTGCTCTCTCTTCAGCCACCTTCGCTTTCGCCGCAGCCGCTTTCGCTGCCCTGACTAGCCGGCTCCGCTTGTAGGCGTCTCCATCTGGATTGTTTGGCATCTCACTCAGTTTGAGAATGCGTGTTTTGGATGTGTATGTTTTTGGTGGCCGGACACCAGACCACCGTGACAAAAGTCCTATGAGACAACAACTTTGGTGTTTGTTGAGATGTGTGTCTTTATGGTGTTGCCAGTGTTGTATTGCATTCCACATTCTAATTGTGATATATTCTAACTGCAGTGCCTCTACCAGGCTTCTCCATGTTGGTATGTCATTACATTAATGGCTAGACTCATTGGTGCTATATTCTTACTCAGTCCTCTATTGTATGTTGTGCAACACCTTGAGCATTCCAAAGAAATCACAACTGTTTTTCAGTCACTGCTTCGCCGACATGCGCAGTCTACAAGTCACCAAACATTAAAGCCTTTGTTTCTTTGATCTCTGAGGATTTCACTTGGAGCTGTGTGGCTTTCCCATCTGCTGTCGTGGCCTGAAAGCGTTTTGGAGACACTGGTCAGAGCTGCGTCAAAGTCATGAGAATTGCAGAGTTCACCAGATGTACTTGTGTAGAACAGACTCAATAAAGTTTCTGCTTTGTTTCTTTGCTTGATGCAACATGACCTTCTTGCAACTATTTCCTTCGTAGCCAGTAGTGAGGCTGTTTAAATGATGATTCATTCATGTCAAACATCAAAAGAGTAATGGCAAAGGCATGCACCTTTTATCAAACAACGTTGGAATCTTTGCAACAAGTCACTTGGAGTGAACTTATATACAGTATACAGAAAAACTTTCAATGCAATAAACACAGAAACAAGAGCCTGGAGCCCGGCTCATACTTCAACTCAAAGCTATAGTAGAGACGCGTACAGGAGTCTGGAATCCGGTTCATACTTCAACCCAGTACAACCTGACACACAACACATACTCGAACGCGTACAACACAAAGACTTACACAAAGACATACGCAAACGTACACCTCACAGGCTTTGTTTCACCACATTGCGCCTTTGAGCGCCAGCCATGTGGCCGAAGAACGAGAGAAAGCGTTCGAAGCAGTGGGAGCGAGCGCCTTGGCTTCAAGACTTTCACTGGAATGCGGGGATTCAACTTTGACTGCGACTTGTTTTTTTGCACAGATGTGTTTTCTGGACTGTGCGGCGTGAGCGTGACTCAGGATGAAGCTCGCAAGAGATCCAAGAACGAGAGCGGCGATTGGAATGCGCCTTGGCTGACAGTGATGGGCTTTTCTTTTGCATCAGACGCCAGGTTGAAAGATTTTTAGCAAATTTTTCTGTAATTCTCCCACATGTCCACCCTTGGGAAAAACTTGGTGCAGGCTTCTGCGATCCAATCCACTGCTGCAGTTTCAGTGATGGCCACACAGGCAGGTTCAAATAAATGTTCGTTTTGGTTTTTGAGGACCTTTGTGACTCTCTCTGCCTTATCTTCTTTTTGTCCCCATTGAGATTCTCTCTGCGGTATCTTCTTTGTCCAGGCGGTGATCATCCAACACCAGCAGCAGCAAATGCACATGATGCAGCAGCAGATGCAGCTGCAGCAACAGCAGATGCAGCAACAGCAGATGCATCAACAACAGGCGCAGCAGCCACAGATGGCTCCGACTGCACCACAGGCGACTCCAGTTTGAATGAGTTGTTGTGCAATGAAAACATAATCAAGGTAAACATAGTTGCTTCTTTTGTGAGTTGATGTCGATGTCAGGGTGAGAACGGCTTCGAAATGTTGCTGCAGGCTGCTGGTCCCCGCACTCCGCCATGGCGTGCGGCTCCCACTCCGCCATTGCGCCCGCCGCCAATTCCACCCCCGAAGGAGGAGGCACACTGGTTGGGGCAGAGTTGTTGACAGATTGGGTTGTGTTCAGAATGAGTGAAAGTGATGCAGCACATCCAACACACAAAAGAGAATCCAA